TGCAACCGTAGACCCACCACCGCTTGTAGTTTACAAGAGGATGATAGAACTGCTCACCTCAAGACTTCCCCAAATGAAGTTCAGAAAAAGCCATTGCTTTTAAAACACACTCGCTTACAACCTGGAATAAAAACTAAGAATTTCATGTAAATCATTAGTTGACAGTCTTCTGATAAATCGTGCCTTTGTTTTCTGCTATCTGTGTTCTCCTACGAAAGCTTTGTGAGATGAATATGCAAGAGCCAACCAATGAAGTTTGGAATAAAATCTGTCGCAACTGAAATGAGCAACCAATCCCCATATGAATTCCGTTGATTAGTAAAACCATTAAGTACAATCAAAGGACTGTGCGAGCAACAAACTGGTACATTTTATTTCCTCCTGTTGGTCACTCTGACTTTTTATCGATTCCGAACCGAAGACAATGCAGTAGATCCCGGTCGACCACACTCACTCGCTGGCACACTCACCTCCCCCACCTACTCACCAACTCACCCGCTATTTATCATACCCCAGTCTCTCGAACGCACCATCAAAACCTGGCACTGTCCATATACACGTTCGGATCTGACCGAAGCACAAGACATCGCAGCCCAAATCGCGGCACAACCAATTATGCAAATGATCAATTCGAGCTGAACGAAGAGAATGCTTGTTGTGTAAGAAGCTCGTTTGGTTGTTGACATAAATACACAGAATGCGGCTAGTTGAGGCCCCCAAACGAACGGGGAAATGAGTCAAGAGGATGTGATGAAGCTGAGACGGGAGGGTATTTGTTTGTGCACTAAAATGCTGCCAGAATTCAGTCGCACGCATCAATGATAGGCGGGTACGTGTGTTGTTGTTGTTGGTTCACCAGGGTAAACAGAAACAAACAGGAAAAGAAAGGATGAAGGAAATTAAGTCTGTGACAGTCATTTCACCCTAAAAGCTATGAGTGGAAAGAACTGTAAAAATCATTTATCGGATCCTAATCCTGTTACCGAATATGGAAAACCAAAAATTTCACTCCGACATATTTATTCCTTTGCAGATGGCTTTGCACCGTTTCAATCAATGAAGGGTCTTGACCTTCCATCAAAAAGATCCGATTACCTGCCATCTGCCCAAACTAGTGTACAAACCCTGATAGCACCAACAGCCAAGGATAGTCAGGCAGTCCAGAGTTCGCAGAATCTGATGACCACATGTGCATCGTTCTCGACAATCACCACGTTTACGCACACTACCAATCAGGCTGAACCGGGGACACCGAAAACCACACCATCACCACCATTTGTTCTCCCTCCACCACCCACATGTATAGAGTGCGCAAAACCACGATGGCAACGGCCACTGTTCACCAACGCTGAATTCGGACATCACAATCAACTGTTTGAGGAATTCCCTCGAAATCCCAGCACACCACCAAGACAATCATTTACCCTACCTCCTACTTCTAAGCTGACCACACAGTCGGGAGAACCCGATCACCCAGTCCACTATTCACCAATCACAACCCGGTCAAAAATTGCCACCCTATCCAATTTGCCAGGCAGATCATGGGCAAAATAGGCATACGGTTATTCACACATCCCGCTGACCCTTACCACGCTTCACTTTCGTTTACCAACCAAACCAGGTTCTTCCCTCTTTTCTTGTGGTTTGGTTTTTCATCACTGTTCCGCATCCTCACCGTTGCCGTGTACGTGCCTGTCACTCAAAAACGGTTCATTTTGGGTTGGATAACCCAATGTTCGTTTTGCTTTTTCACCAGTTGTAAGCGCAATAATCTGGTACTTCTTTATCCCCTGATACACATTCCTTGAGCAGTTGAAAGGCTCGATGTCTTTTTGGACAACCCTCACACATTCCTCAATATACCCCAATCTCTCGATACAGACACATAGAGTACACAACAGCCAGTCGGCAGTGTATGATCTCATGCCCACAGACAAAGCTCAACCAGTACAGAAGTACAGTGTGAAACCTCACAGCTGAATACATTTGCGTTCACACACCCATCCCACACGAATGAGGACGTAGTAAATCTCAAGTGTGTGATCTTTTCACTCTTCTATTATCTGCTGTTGTGAATACTTATACACACACATACACAAATTTTTACCTGTAATCTCGTTTGTTGTCAGACCAAATTGTCCTGTTTTGTTCCCCAGTCATTTCGACGC